GAGGCCAGGATGGCCAAACTTCGTCTCTCATACTTCGGACATGTTGTCAGGAGGGACCAGTCACTGGAGAAGGATATCATGTTTGGTAAGGTGGAGGGTCAGAGAAAAAGAGGGAGACACCCAACGAAATGGATTGGGCAAGTGGCAGCATCAATGGACTCAAGCGTGGCAGCTGTAGCGAGGTTGGCCCAGGATTGGGCAGTGTTTTCTTCTGCTCTGCATAGGGTCACTATGAGTCGGTACTGACTCGATGGCACCCGACAACAACAAGAACAAGAACTATTTGTCTCCAGATCTTTTGGAGCCACGAAGGCTAAATGAACTCTGGAAAATATTGCCCTGAGATAATCTTTAAACTTTAAACTAAAAATATACCCTGAAGTCTTCTTAAAATCATAGTTTAGCTTAACATAAAGAATGTCTACCTTCATGTACAATTAGAGTAGCTGAGGACTCTAGACTCATGGAAAGAGAAAGGCTATGTGCTAGCGGCCAGGTGCTGGTGGCCAGGATGCAGACTTGCAGAATGTACCCTTTGGTTGTTTAAATGATTATATATTTCTGATTGTTTTCATGTACATCAAAAAAATAAACAAAAACAGAAGGAATAGAAGCAAAAATACTGTTGACTAATGATGCATGGAGGAGACTGTAATCATTGCAATAAAACTATGAGTGTAAAACCGATGTTCTCCCATGTAAACTACTACTCAATTCACAATAAAAACTTTTTTTTTAAAAAAGTAGATTAAATGAAAAGGGTAAATGTTTTGCCTCTTAAATTTACTTAATTGTTCCAAAACGATAAGTAAAAATACTTTGAATTAAAAAATAGAATGCCTGCCTTAAGCATTAAGCTCTTTGAAAAATCATATAGATGACATCACATGAACACAGCAGCTCACAAGTTTAGGTAGGGAAGGGGTTAATATTAATGGGGAAAGCACAACTCAAAAAGGAGGGTGAAAATTGTTACACTCTTGGAAGAATGAAACCAGTGTCTGAATTGTGTGTATGCATGTGGAAACTCTTGAATTGATACTTTTCTGTTTCTAGTTTCAACAACCAATACTTTTGTAAATTTCAAAGTACATCAGTTATGCTGATCACTGTATGCTGTCTGTTACAGACTTGGCTTCATCACTACAACTCCACCTTCTGTTGTACTGAAAACTTAAAGAGTCACGCTTTCAAGATTCAGATAGACTCAGAAACCACAAAGCAACGAGCAGTAGTCACATAGTGCATGGGCACATTTAACCACAAACCTTCATGAGGCAGGCACATTACACAGAAGCTCAGAGATAGGCATTATGGGACTAAAGGAGCCCTGGGAACACAGTGGTGAAAACGCTCATCTGCTAATCAAAAGCTCAGCTGTCTGAACTTACCAGTCACTCCAAGGGAGAAAGATGTGGCCGTCTGAGTCTGTAAAGATTCTTAGCCATAGAAACCCTCTGAAGCACTTCCATTCTGCCCTATAGAGTCCTGTGAGTCAGAATCAACTCAATGGCAGTGGGTTTTG